ATTAAAGCTGCATAAAATCTCTTAAAAATCTGTTTTAAGGCATCAACGGACTGATGAAACAAAAAGGACTTGACCATCAAGATCCCAGGGAAGAATGATTTTCAAGTTAGTGAGCCAAAAGTGCCTAGCCTCTTTTATCCTTCGATCATGTACTGATTATAGGCATGGCATAAAAACTGGGAATGTAGATAAAGGACCCAAGCAATGGGCAGTTGCTAAGAGGCAGAGAAACCATCAGACCTCTTGGCAGTCTCAAGGGGTATTAAAAGGCAAAAATTAGACTAATTTATTGAATATTGAATAAAAGGGAAGGGTGGAGAACTTAGTCAACCACTCAGCCTGTTTACCCATTAAGACATTTTCTGAATTCTGAAGCTATGCAGAATGTAAAGTTAAGCAGAAAAGCCTACAAAGAAAAATGAGGGTGTTGGGCAGTATCTAGATACAAAGGATACAAAGATTAGAGCTGCACAACTGCCAGAGGACAGATGCAGTGAGCACTCTGGGCTCTCAACTGGAAAACCCCTAGAGGACTAGTTCTCTAAGGAAGGGGGGGAAATGAAGATAAACTAGAGGTAGAGTCAAGAAAACTGAAACCCAGCCTTAATTAAGTTTAGCTCAGACTCTGATTAGATTAAGTGGATCAGTCCCCACTCTGCTTAGTAAAGGAAAAGGATGAACCCATTGTGTAGGACACTGTCACCATCCAGAGCCTCTATAATTTGTCATACGCAATGTTGAGCATCCAGTCAAAAGTTATCAGCCGTACCAACAGAATGGACTAAATGATCAGCAACCAAGAGGGAAAAAAAAACCCACAGAAAATTTTTATCATGGAGTTACCAGACAAGAACTTCTTATTATTTTCTTAAAGATTTTATTTATTTGAGAGAGAATGAGAGAGAGAGATCACGAGCAGGGGGGTAAAGGCAGAGGGAGAAGCAGACTCCCCGCTGAGCAGGGAGCCTGGTTCGGGACTCAATCCCAGGACCCCAGGAATCATGATCTGGGTCGAAGGCAGACACTTAACTGAGCCACACAGGCGCCCAGACAAGAACTTTCAAATAACTGATTCGTTAGTTGAAGAAAAACATGGATAAAACACAAAAGATTAGTTCCCTGGAGAATTAGAATCTATTAAAAATAACTGGATGGACAGATATTCTAGAACTGAAAAATATAAGAACTGAAATTAACTCAATAGATGGGTTTAGCAGAAGTGATAAATTAACTGGAAGACAGATGAATAGAAAATATTTAGTCTGAAACACAAGTGGGGAAAAAAGGATGGGAAACACAGAGAAGAGTAGCAAACTTCAAACAGTGAAAAGTTCTAACATCCAGATTATTGGAGTCTCGGAGGAGACGCAAAAAAATGAGCAACAGTATTTGAAAAATGTCTGAAAAATTTCCAAAACTGATTAAAGACAACCCACAATTCAAAAAACTCTGTACACCCCAAGCCAGAAAATAACAAAAAGAAACCCACACTAGGCGCATCATAGTAAAACCACTGAAAACCATAACAAAAATCTTACAAAGCAGACAGCAGGGAGGGGATGGAGGGGAAATTACTTTCAAAGGAGCAACAAAAGGACAAAATAGCTGAATTTTGAACAGAGATGGTGTAAGCCTGGAAATAATGGAATTACCACTTAAGTTGGCTAAAGAAAAACATGTAGATGAATTTAATAGAAAAGAGAATAAACTAGAAAACAATTGTAAAAATTACCCCCAAATATAGCATAGTTATAAAAAAATATGAAAGGTTAAGAGCTAAGACTAGTATGATATAATCTAATTTACATTTAATCAGAGTTCCAGAAGGAACGTAGAAAATATTAAAAGAGAAAATGGCTTAATAGTTTTCCAAAACTGATTAAAAATACTATTATACACCTTTGAGAAGCTTGAAGACTGTCAAACAGCGGGGGTAAAGGGGACCCACCTAGCATGCCAATAATTTCTACGTTGTTTCTCAGCTCTAAGTGAATCTTCCTGTAATCTTGCTGTTATACTGGAGCTGCAACTCTGTAAATTGTTTCCCACACTCCCTTACCAGCTGACATCCTGTTAGGATCTGCCGATAGAAGGTACTAGAAGAAGATTACATGGCATTAGATAAGTAGCAGGTGCCCAAACCCAGGGATTTTTTTTTTAGAAGAGAGATCATTTTATATATTAAAAGCCACTGAGATTTAGAGGTTTTATTATTACTGTAGCATAAGCCTATTATAACAAAATACGCAAGAAGAATTTTTTTAAGTAGACCCTTGCAACAACAAAAGTAAAACCCAGGTATATGAAAGACATAAATGTAAAAGACAAGACTATAATGCTTTTGGAAAAGAATATAGGAAATACCTTCATCATTTTGGAGAATAATTTCTTTTCTTTTTTTTTTTTTATTTATTTGACAGAGAGAGACATAGCGAGAGAGGGAACACAAGCAGGGGGAGTGGGAGAGGGAGAAGCAGGCTTCCCGCCGAGCAGGGAGCCCGATGCGGGGCTCGATCCCAGGACCC